AAAAATATCGTTGAATTATGATTTTTAAAGTAATTGTTACGTGCATCCTTATAAACATTTTGCATATTTGGAATGTCAATGCTCACGGCAAACTTATGGACCCAGTGGGTAGATCATCTGCTTGGAGAAAAGGGTTCAACGTTACGAAAAATTTCAGTGACAACGAACTTTTCTGTGGTGGCTTTGCGGTAAGCTTTTTTTTTTTTACTTATGATAAATCGATTTCGTTCTTGGCACTTAATACAAATAAATGAAAACGTATCCAAAACTATATATCACAGTTTCATTGAATAATAAAGTGCTTAATATTTTTCCTCAGCTAAATAAAAAATATAACCTATTATATTCTTCTGGATGTCTTATCTATTATGGATATAAGCAAATCCACAAAAAATATACCATTTTTCTCACCCATTACGACAATAAAACTGTTTTTTTAAGATTAACGCTTGAAACAGGGCTCATTTTACTTGTAGTGCTGTGTACTATGAGGAAATAGTTTTGAAAACGGATTTCAACAGACTCCCTTTTTCAGCGATTCACGTGCTAAAATTACATCTACAGATATCGTAAACGTGTGTCGTTTTAACACGTAAATCGTGGAAAAAGAGTGTCGCTCCCACGAAAATTCGTGTCCCAAATTTTTTTCCTTATAGGACATCGAATAAAATAGGCCCGGATTCAAGGGTGTGCCTTAAAAAATTTTTTTTCATTAAAATGGGGGATAAAAATGGAATACTTTTTTTAGATTTGCTTATGTACATTATTTTTATACTCTTTGAATCATTCATTTTATGAAACTTTTGACAATTATTGTTACTAATAGCAGAAGTTAATGGTAGTTCTGTTAACGAAATTTAAGTTAATGGAATAAACAGAATTAATATTGTTTTATATTTTATTAACGAATATTATAGGTCCAGTATGAAAAAAATAAGGGGAACTGCGGACCATGTGGTGACGATTGGTCCAAACCTCGACCAAGAGATAATGAAAATGGTGGCACCTACGGCCAAGGAGTGATCGTTAGTCGGTAAGTTCAAGTTACTAAGAAAATAGTTAAAATGATAAAAATCTGCAACTCTGCAATTTTTAAGTTAATAATTTTAAGCTAAAAATGGATAAATAAAAACAATTTAGCAAATAAACAGTCCAATTTTTGACCCCTTAAATATATTTAAGTGAACAGTTTTTTGTTTGTTTCGTTGAAATTCCAAAAATTGGTGGGATTTTGAAAATCTGTTATTAGTCAGTTAGAAAATTTTACATCCAAACACCATCATAAATTAATAACAGAATAAATCTCAGTAGGTTATTATTTTCAAATAAGATCTAATTAAGCCATTAGAGTAGATACCACTACAGCCTTGACAATTTATGGTTTTTTGTTTCTTGTATTTCATGATATTATTGTGCATGGCAGTTGCTTCCATGTGTATCAATCATGATAGTTGTGCAGAACATTCGAATAATAATTAATAATTTCATCATTTCTAAGGTTTTTAATTACATACCTAATCACTTATTACATTCATATATTACAGGTTTTACTTTTAATTATGTTAAAGTATATATATTCGGTGTTAAAAAAAAATTATTAACGCATCTTAAAACTGAGAGGTATGGTAAATTTTATAGAAAAACTACAGCCATTTCTTAGATATGTGTGTCAATTGATTCGTGTAAACTATCAAATAGAGTATAGATAAAGAAATGCTGTATCCTTCTAACATAAAAACAGGTTTATTTTGTATATTTCACTGTACTTGTCTTACTCAATAGAATAATGTCATATTTAATCATATATGGTTTTTATTATAATTATGTGTTTATAATAATAAGTGAAAAAATTAGTCATTTGTTTATTTGTTATTTATTTTAAATTATGCCCAAAGATAGTCAATTATCAAATTTAATGTATGAATAAAATTCATATTGAATAACAATATTTCGAATATTCAACATTCATTTTCTAATATTCTCAAATAACTAGCAGCTAGGTCAAATGCTGTTGGTGTACATTGGTAAAAAGAAA